TCCACTTGATGGAAAAGAAGATGAATGCATGTGCCCCTTGTCTTTTTGATTCTATGGGTTCTAACCCTTCTGCAGGTACTCATAGAATGCACTGGCTGTGGTACTGTAGCTACTATAGCTGAGGTATGCTCCAAACCTATATTCCTGGCAGCGCTTTTGCAAAGTGCTGTGAAACGCCATTCCCATCGAACACATTGTTCGAAGATGTAACACCTCTCTCTGTTGGTTTTTCCAGCCTCGAGACCTACTTGCCTTTGGTGCTAGAACTGTACTCCATGAGCCCGATGGGTAGCTTTTCTGCAAAGAACTATAAAGAACTGAACTGTTGAATTGGTTAAATTGACTGTCAACATGATTGTTCATTCTTTCGATGTACATGTCGCCCCACCTAACCTACCGTACAGCAAGTGAATCCCAGGTGAGTTCACCATAGCATTTTTCGAGACTGTATTTGGCAACATTGACAAAGAGTGTGACTTCAAACTCTCTCAGTGCCGCTGGATCCGTGACCGGACAAGGTGGGCAAACAGTGATCCTGTGCAGCATTGAACTTCATGGTTTCTAACAAATTAAGGGTGGTCTTCACTTGCTGGTCTGGGGCATTGCTCTCAGACTTGCATCTCAGGAAGCATACACGCTGTATGCTTTGCTGGCCTATGCACGAACGTATTGGCGAAAGTCTTTGAAGAAGAAGACAGCTCTTCGTTTGATGTGTATTTCATTGCACGGAACACTGAACAATTGAAACCTAGTGCAATGTAAGGACATACCGGACATCCCATCAAATGTTTTGTTTCTTTCACTTAGGTGACACCTATCGCTGCCCAGCTACAAACTGTGATGGAGAAGAATCCAAAGAAAGCTCGTGTCACATGCACAAAGGAATATAAGGAACAGCAGTTGGCAAAGCATGACAACAGTTCCAGTGTGCCCGTAGCACCAAACTGTGACTTAGAGGTGTGGGAGGTATCTGATGGGGAAACAGAAGCGGACCCTCTCAGAGACATGGAACTAGGCAGGGTGGCTTGTTGGCCTTTTTTGTACATCAACCAGCCAACCAACCAACCAACCAACCAGCAACATCTATTCGTTTCTATGCAGGTGTCTCAGAGCATGATGGTGGAGATGCAGGCACATGCACCGGTGCACATTGTTGCACATTGAAACATGAGTGCTTGTCTTGCCCCCGTTTCCTCAAGGACCTCAAGAGAATGTTGAACATTCAGCTGACACTTGCGAGGTCGGTTGAGCTGATTCATCTCGTATGATGTGACTAGAACATGGGATCTTGTTCAAAGACTGTATAGTTTTGCAACAGGACCCGCTGCCTGTTGGTCACCCCACTGACAGCCAACCTGCTGAAAGCCAGCAATTGGAGCAATCAGAGGCGCCTGGTCAATGAAGGTGTCCTTATCCAAGATGCTGATCCTCAGACTGTTAATCGCGCAAGGTGTTCGAAATCCTAGACGAGGACGAGGACGAGGATGGCAAACACCAACAAGTTGGATCATGTTCACAGGCCATCAGATTTTGAAAACAATTGCGCAGTTCACTAACAGCAAATCTTTGGGGAGATTGAGTAATCATAGAGAAGAAATGAGTTGTTTGATAGTTCGACAGTAAAACACCAAATACCAGTTGCTGTTGACATCTGCTTACTCAAAAGCATGTGAGTGACTGACGCTTGCATGGAGGCCTATCTAAGGTGCCCCGATGATGCCCAGGCTTGGGTCTCTGACATGATGTGTCTCAACCGCTTCGGGTCTTTTTGTCAGGGTGGCAAGATTCGTGTCAATCCAACACATGTGGAGGCTCTCTTTCAGTCTTATGTGTTGTCACCAGCACACCATCAAATGCATAGCGCGTGATAACTTGACTATGTAAAGGCGGAGTCAAACGCTTTGCTTGGTGGAGTCTCTCAATGAAAACATGTATAAGTTCTCACATACCTCACCAAAATGCAGAAACACCATCAGGTCGAAGAGACGAATGAGACGAAGGAGACGAACGCTGAACTATGTTGGAAGTCAAAGGCCAGCTACAAACATATGTTTTCTTCCTTTTGTTCAATGGTTACAATGCAATTGACTGACCCTCATGTTCTTGTCTCATTGGGTCTCAGGCTTCTGGAAGCTTGTTTGATGATATCGAGACTCAGGCAGATGTATGTGGATGTGTTTTTCTCATATATATATATTAGCATTTGCAAGTAAGGTCGATCATGTGAATTCCCTCCTTGCAGGTGGATAATACCTTTGCCGTGAACATCTGTGACACCTTTGTTCAGGCGTGCTCACAACATACGAACCCTTCTCATGTATGTGCGAATTTAAGGGTGCAACTAACCGTCCACAGAAACCAACCCACCTCCCCGCAATCTCTCTGCTCCAGGAGGATCCCGGACATGATGGACCACAGGAGCACTGTTGAAGCTGATCAAACTCCCTTTTGCGGCCTGGATGGCAGGACCACGCAAATGATTCGATCTGGATGGATGACGATGGGTGGGGTAGCAAGGTGCATCTGAACAGTCAGTGTCGATACATGTCGATGAAACTACATATCTATGGCATGAATACATGAAACTTGTAGGTACATTGCAGCTACGATTGCTTGTGCGGTTGGGATCCGGCTTCAGGAGTCTAAGTCTCAGTCTTGTAGTTCATGTTATCAAGACGTTACGAAGAGATCTTTCCGTTCAGATGCTTCATCCGAACCAAGTGGACATGTTACAAGCCATTGCTTGCGCATGAGGCCAATGGTTCCACTAGTGGCGCCAAAACCAACCAAACTCTGGAGGCATGTTGACGCTACAAATGAAGGTGTTCACAGCTATGCAAGACTATCTTCAGAACACTGTGATTGATGATAATCCTTTCTTTTTCGACCCGGCCACATGTTGTTCAGGCTTCATCGTCTGGTCGTGTGCCTGATGCAAAGAAGGAGGAGGCGTCCAGTCAAGCCTCAACCACAAAGCGTTCAAGACATCCATGTCAGTGTGCGAGCAGTTTTTACACTATACATGTATTGCATGTATCGTATATGTCATTTCTTTTTCGACCCGGCCACATGTTGTTCAGGCTTCATTGTCTGGTCGTGTGCCTGATGCAAAGAAGGAGGAGGCGTCCGGTCAAGCCTCAACCACAAAGTGTTCAAGACATCCACGTCAGTGTACAAGCAGTTTTTACATTTGCATGTATCCTATGTCAGTGGTCACAATAGACCGTGCAGTGCCAATAGTGTATGAAACCCTGAATCACCAGGAGGTCTTCCGCAGAGTCCTTGGTGTCATGGCAGAGTACAAAATGCCGATCGAGCGAGATGGAGCATTTCACCAGCGTTTGCAGCAGTTGGCGCCACACGTTCATGTCCCTGATGATATGTGGGCAGAACCTTCGCCACCAGCCCCACAGGACTGAATACATGGTTTATATATCATTTCCCAACGTAGGTGAACTGATGTGCACTGATGTGTTTGGTCTGCAGTCTAAAGTGTTTGTTCATGAAAACGGTAGACTAGACGGGATTGCTCAAGTGGAACCATGAAAGGACACCTCGGCAAATCAGACAAGTCTCGCACCGCCTCAGCCCTTGCCTCCTGCTGTGCAACTGCATCAGCCCTTGCCTTCTGGTGAAGATGCTCCTGAAGACGTGCAGCCTTGCAAGAAACTGCGGAGGTCAAAGCAGTTTGAACCTACCGCTGTAGAGCTTGCCGCAGCGACAAAATCTTCACCTTCGACAGCTGTGCCTGCTGTGAAGACAGGGGAGGCTTGCAAGCGTCGCAAGACAGAAGGGAAGTCGAAGTATGAATTGCCTGGTGAGCCTTCTTTTGCAGCCACCCTTGCTGAGGCAGCTAGCAGAGAGGAGCCACCCAACTATGCTGCTCAAGGCTCAGATGCCGGGAAGAAACGAGGGCGGCCAAAGAAGGCTGGCAAAGGCAAAAAGCCAAAGAAGCATGGCAAGGCCAACAAAAAGGCCAAACGCGGCAAGAGAGTGTCAGCCAAGGCCAAGGCCAAGGCCACGAGTGGTAAGGGGAAGAAGAATGCAAAGGGCAATGCAGTCAAGAAGACTGGCCCCAAACAAGTTGACGCCGAAGCTTTTTCTGGCACTCCTACGGCCCGGAAGTCAAGGGCAAAAAAGCCAGCAAAGGCAAAGGAACCAGAGCTTGCAGACTTGGATGGTGCCAAGCCCGAGCACTATGGACCGCTTCGAACTCCGCCAGCACACATCACGGCAAATCACGTCTACAGCTCGGCCTACAGGAAGAACGCCAAGCAAGGTGATGCATTTGGCCGGATGGCCGGACAGATGGCTGCTGCGATGTTCCGGGAAACTGGGCAGGTAGATGAGCTGTGCGGAGTCTTCAGAAATTCAGTGAAGAGGTCATCCTGAAGGGACAAGGAGACCCAAGAAGATTCGTGAACGGCTTGCTTGGATCAGGCGTGCGTTTATAGACGCATGCTTGTAGATGCTTGTGGGGTTCGGCTTTGCAAGTGCAGCGAAGGCAATCGGATGTAAATCACATCGCTTTCAAAGCTTTTGGTGCACCTAGAGCAAAGCTTGCCAATTGATGACTGTGACTCAGCGAATCTGATGTCTGATGCAAAAGGCAGTGTATGTGATTCAAGCTTTGTTTTGAATATTCAGAACGCACGACAGCAATGCACTGTGCCATATAGGGCGTAGACATGCACTTATGTGAGTTTGATGATAGATACTTCTCAGTGTGGGAATCGTGGTTTCATGTGCTCAAACAAGTGGGAATCTGGTTTGGTTCGCACACTTCCTGTCTTGGCACACCACGGCTGAGCATATGAGTGCTCGCAGGAGGCAGGGGCTTCAAATGGGTTGACAAAACTGGGCCCTTACTGCAAGGGTCTAGATACAAATAAAGCTGATGTTCAAGAGGTGGCTTGAGAATGCAACTCACAAACTTCTTTCTTCTTGAAACTATGTGATGTCCATCTCTCAATCTCTTTTGCTACTGGCTGTTGCTGCAGGAACACGGAGGAGATCGACGAGGGGAGAGTGCCGCCAGTCCTCATCATCCCACGTGGGATCGGGGATGGTCGCAGCCGGCCTGGCTACCTTCCCGTTCGCTTGCTGGTTTTGTTGCAGCTGATGGCACAGGCTGAGTCGGGCACAAATGGCAGTTCAGTGAGGTTGACTGTAGAATGATTGCAGGTATAGCAGTATAGCATATGATGACAGGAATGAACCTACGTTGCACACCATGCTCTCCACTTTGAAACAATTTTGCTCCCCACTGAAGGGTATGGTGCACTTGAGGCCTTTGCTCCGCCACCAGCACCTTTTGACAACATAGACATGTTCGCTGGTCGATGCAGCATCTCACGTGCTTTCAAAGCACATGGGAAGTCTGTGGTGGCACTGGACATTTGTCTTGATCCCCGAGATGTCTCTTGTCTTCTAAATTTCCTCAGCTATTCTTCTTTACAGCGTGTGTGCATTTTGTAAGGTTATCAATCATGCAGTTCATTAGGCTGACCATGAATTTAGCCGTTGCGTCCTGAAGGACATTCTTTCTCCTTTGGGGTTTATACGTCACCTCTATGCAGCTATGCACATTGCCCGTGGAGGGCTATGTTCCATGGGTGTGTGCTGCAGCAGTTGGACAACTGTCAACCGAAGCTCGGCTCCATTTAGACTCACACGTCTCCTCACTCTGGACATTGAGACTTAGTGCATGGCAACCATTTGGCAAACAAGTCGTTGTATAAACATGTCTATTTGTTCTCGTATACTGACTTGGGTTCCCAAAGGCACCTGCACATGTGCAACCTCGGGGGGGGGGGCTTGGCATGATCTTCTTGCTCGTCCTTCAGGTGGCACATCGGGCAGAACTACTGAGAATCCACTTGGCCGCACGTGCCTTTGGTTTATCATATATGTGATGGCAGTGTGACTCTGTTTGGAAGCATGCGATAATCAAATTTGTGCTCTGAAAGGTGGCTTCCAAGTGTGAAATCATCAAATTTGATGGTGGTTCGCGTGCAACCCTCAATGATGGCACGTTGATGACTATGGTAACATGTCAGTGTGGAATCATTGAGGCCGCCACAGTTAGCACACCTGTGTATCAACCTGAGGCGGTCTTGATCATCTTGACGGTTATGTATCACCAAGGGCATTGGATGTTGGAAAACCCGCTTTCTTCGATTGTGAGAAACTCAGAAAACTTCAGCCATACTCTGGCCATTTCTTTGTTTGTGTGCATGCATGAGTGAACCATGTGCAGTGTACTCTACAAGCTATAATTTCTATAGCTCTCGCCCAATAACACTACCTACTATATGGACTGTATAGGGCTCATATGTTTGGGGTTGGTGACTACCCTTCCCACTACCCAGATCGATCTGGCTCCACGGATGCAAGTGTTACTGGGCAATCGCTTGGTCTTCCGTGCCATGACTTGGCTGGGTATGTATGGTGGAGCTACACCAAAACCAGTAAAGCTGCTCTCCGATGATCCCTACATTGCCCGGCTTTACCGGACAGACTGCTCGGTGTCATGAGTTTTTTGAGTGCAATTCTTGGCTTTGCACATCAAATGGAGTTATTTACCATGAACATTGCTAGACATAGTATGAGAATCACTGCAGGAAGTTGAAAAGGCACGACTTCAGGAAGAGCGACACGACTATTCGATATATCAACAAACGAGGAGTTGTCAAGTTTCGAGGATCAAAAACCTTGAAAGCGAGCCAAACCTATCCCCGAAGTTTCGGGCATTCAGCTTCTGTTCAGCAATGGGTCTGTTTACAAATGCAACTTTATGCGATACTACACATGCCAAGAAATCCCAAGGTGATTGTTGGTGGTACGGTGGTACCCTACTTGTCTCCCAAAAAGGCATCTCATCTCCCAAAAGGTTGCCCCCCAAAATAATGGCATGCACCACCAACAATTGTCATGGACTTTCTTGGCATTGGAACCATGGAGCAAAACACATGTGGACTGGTTGTCATGTCAACCGGCCAAGCTCGACCTAAGGTTTTCAATGCCTGGAATAGCTATGCCCTGAGAGAGCCTAATCACCCGGTCTTCATTGACCATGGTGACCTTTGGGACGATGCCGAGCTTGGGGGTGTAGAAGCTTGGTTGGAGGCCCGTTTGCGGAACCGTGCCTCGAAACGGAGGCTCAACATCAATGATTTGGATTCATGATTCATGAACCCAACTTATGGAAGGGTCCCTGACACCTGAAGGTGTCACTAATTTGCCACGGGACAGTGTGTTTCTTTTGGACACGCTGTGTGAACGAAGCAATGTGGTGAGTCTGACAAAAGTACTTTGAACCACCGGTGCATTGTCTCGATCGATCGTTTTCTACTCTAGAGGTACATGTAAGCCTGTAGACCATCAAAACAAGTTTTTTAGGGTGCGTCGGTTGCCGTCGGATGGCGTCGGATGGGTTCAGGGGGGATGTGCAAACGCTACTTGGCCGACGTCCCACTGCGTCGGATGCCGTCGGATGGAGTTCCGCTATGTTCCGTCGGTTGACGTCGGATGGCGTCGGATGGGTTCAGGGGGGATGTGCAAAGACTACCTAGCCGACGTCCCGCTGCGTCAGATGGCATCGGATAGCTTTTTGCCCAGTTTGAGAGAAACATGTGTTCTTTGTGAGCCATTTGGGCTTCCCCGCATACCTGGCTAACTATATACGTGACAGCACTGTACCGCTCTGATGTCTGGTCGACCTCCGAGATCCAGCAGACAGGAGCATGTATGACTGTGCTGTGGTGCTTTTTTGAACAGCTTCTACATTGCAAGGTATATAATGTATACACACATAGTGCAGGAGATTCACTATGCCCAAGCTAGTGCAGTGGACATAAACAATTTTTTTGGCCGACATCCTGGTGCAAACGAGGCCAGGTAAGAAGTGAATGGAAGAAACCACACGTACCGTATGATTGATATTTCATGGGGTATTCAACTGCATTCAGGTGGTGGCTATGCCCAGCGGCATTCTACAAACACCTCCAACCAAAAGCGCGTATGTGTCTCCGTCATGTACACCTCTGAAGGCCAGTGAGTAATCCCGGAATGTGTGTTTCACCTGAAAAGTGGTGTCTTCTCAAGTTGTCCCAGGTGGATATGGATGCGACCTCTTTGGATGACACGTTGCCGGCGACAGAGTCCCAGCTCACTGAGGCTCAGGGCAACATGTCTTGCAGTGCTTCAGCCAAAGAACCTGTGCAGGCCGCTCCATTCAGGTGGCCACAGAACCTGGATGTTTCCCCAGCTGACGATTCCCAGATGTCTTTTAGGTGAGCTGGCAGCAATGATGTGCAATTAGACAAGTGGAAAATCGAACAATTATCCGTTATATGCACGTGTGCACGATGCAAAGACGCATACATATACTGATCATCCACATGTACCCAAATTTCAACATGATAAGGTCGATCTCGGCCGATGTGGGAACTCCATGCAGTTTGCCATCGGTATTGGCAGTCCCGGGGACTGAAACAACTGGAGTCAAACGCGAGCGGATTCAGCCCACCCAAGCCTCGAAGAAGGCAAAGGCAGAGTCTCCTCCCAAGACTTCAGCAGTGAAGGGTGGATTCACTGTGAAATCACCATCACTCGGCATGCACACCCCTGAGAGCAAAACTGCTTGCACACCGGTGTTCACACCTAGTCCTCCCAAGCTCCCTCCCAAAGCAGCTTGCCCGTCCGTACCAGTGAAGACAGAAGTGCATGCAGATTCAGAGGCTGCACGTGCTGCGAAGCTTCGCCAGACCTCATATCCGAAGCCATCAACCACCAAGGTGGAACCTCACCGAGCAATCCAAGGATTGTGTCTTCCTCAGGGCATGGGACCACGTGCACCCCCGCCAAAAGCAAGCATCAGCACACCAGCCCATGCTACAATTGATGCCATGGCACCGCCTCCCAAGCCGCCAGCAACAGCACCCAAAGCACCTTGCAAAACTGAGATGCCTTCCAGCACTTGTGTGACAAGTGCAGTGCCATCACCACCAACTCCGGCACCACCCAGCAAAGCAGGTGCTGTGCCACCTTCTGTGCCAAGCCAGATGCTTCCAGCTTGCCACACCAAAGCACCACCTGCACTGTCGCCAGCGCAGCCCGAACCTTCAGCACCAATGCCAGCAGAAGCAAAGGTAACTCCTGCAATCCAGCCACTTTCAACGGCAGTGTCAGAAGCTTCTTCGATCACGACATCCGCTCCTGAGAGAAAGGATGTGACAGCCGATGGGACACCAATCTCGGCAACGTCATGCATCGTAATTGACTTGGATGATGATGCTGATGAACTGCCAGAGGTGGCGCCCACTTTGCCGGACTTTGAAGCAGAAATAGAACAACATTTGATGGCCGACGCTGCATTGCACAGCGCCCAGGCATTTGCAGGCACTAGCAATGCATCTCCACCGGCACCTGAGACCGCTACCTACACTACACCTCCACCA